GATTTTTTCACAAATCTCTTCCAAGCAGTGCTGTTTGTGTCCATCCTTTTTAAACTATTTGTCTATAGTTTAAAATGAAAAGACTTTTTTTTTAGACCAAAGTCCTCTTGGTGTCCTTTCTTCCTTCAAATATTCAGTTAGTTGGGTCACATTCCACCATAATCGCATCTCATTACTCAACAACATTTGCAATTTCAGAAAAATATTCATACAGATTTCATTTTACACAATGGAGTTGATTTACTAAAACTGGAGAGTGCAAAATCTGGTGCTGCTCTGCATTGAAACTAATCAGCTTCCAGGTTTTTGTCACAGCTTACTTGAACAAGCTGAAGTTAGAAGTTGAACAGTTGCCCCAAATTTTGCACTCTCCAGGTCTCGTAAATCAACCCAAATGTGTTCCAGAGGTTGATAGCCTTTTAGAGGTCCTCTCATTATCCCTGCTCACACTTTGGTGGGACCTCTGTGGTGGGAGCTGTGCCATTATAGCAAGATAGTCACTACAAAGTCCTTAGATCTAAAATAAATATATGTATGATGCTTCAACAATCTTGCTGCACTAGCTCAAGTGTGAGACTGGCTCAAACTATTATTGTGGGGAACCTGCTGTGTATTCTAATATGTATAACCAAATCTCTGATGAAAGAAGTAGTATCCACAACTCATCTTTGCTCTTCAACCATATCAAAATACAATCTTGACCCTCTGGGAGGTCCATAAGGCCATTTTCAGAGGCCTCTGTATCTCCATGGGTTCCTGTTTGAATAAGGCCTCTGTTTGTCCCAGACAATCCCTCCTAAGTCAATTATCCTTGGCCGAGCATTGATTACTAGATAATCTGTATATACTTTGGCTTCAGAAAGTTTTCCATATATGAGATCAAATCAGGGCTCTAGATCTGCATAAAACTGCTCAGTCTCTTGCCTGGGCTAGGCAAAACGTTTATGAATTTTCTAATAAACCACATCGTATGCTTGTAAATAGACTTAAATCCAAAATGTGCCCTTCATTACCGGGCCACCTCCTCCAGTCTGATGGCAAACCCACATATGACCCACATGTTATGACTACAGTATTTGGGGAATACTAAGAGAAAATTTAATAATGCCTAGCTCCTGATTTGAGATGAGCGAATCGAAGTAGCTGAAGTGGAATTCGAGTCGAATATCGGAAAAATTTCGATTCGCGTCGAATCCGAAAAATAGCCTACTTCGGACGCGCGAATCGAAATTTTTCCGAAAATGGCGGCGGACATGTGCGGCGACGGAGCGGGGATGTCTGGGAAGGCGCGCAGACAAGGTGCGCTGACCCATAATGCATTCCTCAATGACATGTGATCGCATCAGCCAATCAGCAGCCAGCCAGCCAGCACTGTGTAATGGTCGAGCTATAAATAGCGGCCATTTTGGAATTCTTCATTTGCCTGCAGTCATTGAACAGAGGCAGACCGCTCTGTATTAGGGACAGAGTTAGGGCCACAGAAACGATACTTGGGGACAGAGAACCATTACTCAGGGACACAGAATTGTTAATGAGGGCCACAGAATCGTTACTTAGGGACAAAGAAACGCTAGTTAGGGCCACAGAATTCTTACTCAGGGACAGACAGAATTGTTACTGAGGGCCACAGAACTGTTACTTAGGGCCACAGAAACTTTAGTTAGGGCCACAGAATTGTTACTCAGGGACAGACACAGAATTGTTACTCAGGGCCACAGAATTGTTACTGAGGGCCACAGAATTGTTACTCGCACAGACACAGAATTGTTACACAGGGACACAGAATTGTTACTGAGGGCCACAGAACTGTTACTTAGGGCCACCAGAATTGTTACTCACACAGACACAGAATTGTTACTCAGGGACACAGAATTGTTACTGAGGGCCACAGAACCGTTACTTAGGGCCACAGAATTGTTACTCAGGGACAGACACAGAATTGTTACTGAGGGCCACAGAATTGTTACTGAGGACCACAGAACTGTTACTTAGGGCCACAGAAACGTTACTCAGGGACACAGAATTGTTACTCAGGGACAGACACAGAATTGTTACTGAGGGACACAGAATTGTTACTGAGGACCACAGAAACTGTTACTACGTTACTCAGGACACAGAATTGTTAATCAGGGACAGACACAGAGAATTCTTACTCAGGGAACAGACACAGAATTGTTACTCAGGGACACAGAATTGTTACTGAGGGACACAGAATTGTTACTCAGGGACACAGAATTGTTACTCAGGGACACAGAATTGTTACTCAGGGACACAGAATTGTTACTCAGGGGACACAGAATTGTTACTCAGGGACAGACACAGAATTGTTACTCAGGGGGACAGACCACAACACGAATCGTTGAATTAAAGAGTATTGTCAGACAATATTTTTTCATGCTTTTTTTCTTTTGAGCCTTTTGTTTTCTTTTTTGCTTTAACACTTGAGGGCGAAACCACCCCCACCCCCACACCCCCTGCAGGACGTGGCCGAGCTGGCAGCAGATGGATAGGCGGTCGAGGCAGCACTATTCGCAGCAGCCCCCCAGAGGGCCAGTGCTCCCGGTTGTCATCCAGTACAGTGAGGAAGAGCTAACAGAGGGCGGTCAGGAACGGGGGGAGACATCCCCGCCTCTTCAGCAGCAGGCGAAGAAGTAGTGGCGAGGAGAGTGGCTCGGTAGCCGGTCTAGAGACAGGTCTGTCTCCTGACCCACACGCAGCCGAGGGGGCTAGTAGTGAGGCGGAGGACCCTAATTGATGTGATGAGGCTGATCGCACTTGGCAGCCTCGTCGTCATCAGGCTATTGCTTCCGCAATCATCAGGAGAAGAGGGTGGCAGCTTGGCAGCGAGCAAAACAGTCGGTGGGTTGTCTCCATCGCCACACTCTGCCATGTGCCACTTTCAGGTCTCCTCACACACTGCTGGTGTGTTCCATTTTTTTGTCATAGGGTGCTGGCAGATTACGCCATAGCTGCTGCCAGGCCCCTAATCTGCCATGGGCCCCTGTACCGCCTCCTCATGCTGCTGCGAAGTCCAGAGTCTCTCATGGGTCCCTGTACGGCCTCCCATTGCTGCTGTCTCCATCGCCACTCTGCCATGTGCCACTTTCAGGTCTCCTCACACACTGCTGGTGTGTTCAATTTTTTTGACATAGGGTGCTGGCAGATTACGGGCCTCACATAGCTGCTGCCAGGCCCCTAATCTGCCATGGGCCCCTATACCGCCTCCTCATGCTGCTGCCAGGTCCAGGCGAACGTAGTCACACAGGGGAGGAACTTCTCAGTGTAATGAACAGAGAAAATCAACAGATGGCTGTCTCCGCGCAAACTGAAAATCGGAACCATGTTGACCGACAACGGAAAGAACATGGTGTCTGCTCTGCATCAAGGAAGGTTGTGCCATGCGCCATGCATGGCTCACGTGTTCAATCTGGTTGTCAAGCGGTTCCTAAAAATCCACCATCCCACTGCAAGACATCCTTAAAATGTCACGTAAACCTTGCATGCATTTCAGCCATTCCTACACCGCAAAGCACACCCTCCTTGAGCTGCAGCGGCAGAACGGAATTCCACAGCATCGCCTGATCTGCGACGTTGCAACAAGGTGGAATTCAACCCTACACATGGTAGACCGCCTTTACGAACAGCGAAAGGCCATCACCGATTTCCTGATGTTACAAGCGGATAAAGGTACTCCCCTGTGTAACTTCGATGTCAGCCATTGGCAGCTCATGCGTGACACCTGCCGCTTGCTCAGGCCCTTTGAGGAGGCCACGCTATTCGTGAGTCGGCAGGACTATGGGATGAACGACGTCATTCCTCTGTTGCACGTCCTGGAACAAATGCTGTTAACAATGGCTGGTCAGGGTGCGGTAGACGTGGCGCACAGATCTCAACGCCACATGAACCCTGTGGGGGCAGGACAGGAAGAAGAGGAGGAGGTAGGAGGAGGACATTGGTGCTCAGGAATTATTGAGTGAAATGGGTGGTTTTTCCACTCAGCGGACAGGAGTGGAGGAGCAGGAGCATCTGGTAGAGGAGGAGGAGACAGAGGACCCAGACGCACCGTGGCAGTATGCTGTGGAGATGGAGTCAGGGAGTCCCTCGCATTCCTTGGCACAAATGGCCCATAGCATGCTCGGTTGCTTGCGTAGCGACAGCCGAATAAGACCCATCAGACAGAGGGATGACTTTTGGCTGTCCACCTTGTTGGACCCTCGCTACCGTTCAAAAATGGTGGCCTTTTTCACACCTGCTGAGAGGGAGGCCAAAATAACGTATATATAAACCACCTATGTAGTCAGTTGGTCTCTGCCTTTGTGCGCCAACGTCCATCCTCAGACACTGTGGGCCCTGTGCGCTCGCATTCCGCTGCCATGGCAGCAAAGGAGGGGTGGGGTGGTAGGAGCAGTGGTGGCAGCTCCACCAGCAGCGGCTGCTCAGTCTGCAGTCGATGATGAGTAGCTTTCTTCACCAGCGCAGTGAGGAAACTACTAACCAGCCGCAGCAGCAGCAGCATCAGGTGGACCTGGAGCAGGACCTCAAACAACAGGCTTGGGCCTACTTGGACAGCACCCTGCCAACCGAGGTAGACAATCCCCTTGACTACTGGGCAACGAAACTTGACCTTTGGCCCCAACTAGCTGAATTTGCCCTTGAAAGGCTGTCATGCCCGGCCAGTAGCGTGGCATCGGAGCGCGTGTTTAGTGCGGCAGGAGGTATTGTAACTCCGCGGAGGACACGACTGTCCACCCAAAGTGTGGAGAGACTCACGTTTGTGAAAATGAATCAGGCGTGGATTAGTCTGGATTTCAAACCACCAGTTCCTGACACAACTGACTAAATCCGCCATGAATCATGCCTCAAACATGTGCCACTTTGAGGTCTCCTCACACACTGCTGGTGTGTTGAATTTTTTGACATAGGGTGCTGGCAGATTACGGGCCTCCTATAGCTGCTGCCAGGCCCCTAATCTGCCATGGGCCCCTATATACCGCCTCTCCTCATGCTGCTGCCAGGTCCAGAGTCTCTCATGGGTCCCTTTACGGCCTCCCATTGCTGCTGTCTCCATCGCCACACTCTGCCATGTGCCACTTTCAGGTCTCCTCACACACTGCTGGTGTGTTGAATTTTTTGACATAGGGTGCTGGCAGATTACGGGCCTCCCATAGCTGCTGCCAGGCCCCTAATCTGCCATGGGCCCCTATACCGCCTCCTCATGCTGCTGCCAGGTCCAGAGTCTCTCATGGGTCCTGTACGGCCTCCCATTGCTGCTGTCTCCATCGCCACACTCTGCCATGTGCCACTTTCAGGTCTCCTCACACACTGCTGGTGCGTTACATTTTTTTTTGACATAGGGTGCTGGCAGATTAGGGGCCTCCTAAAGCTGCTGCCAGGCCCCTAATCTGCCATGGGCCCCTATATACCGCCTCCTCATGCTGCTGCCAGGTCCAGAGTCTCTCATGCCATGTTCCACTTTCAGGTCTCCTCAGCACACTGCTGGTGTGTTGAATTTTTTGACATAGGGTGCTGGCAGATTACGGGCCTCCCATAGCTGCTGCCAGGCCCCTAATCTGCCATGGGCCCCTATATACCGCCTCCTCATGCTGCTGCCAGGTCCAGAGTCTCTCATGGGTCCCTGTACGGCCTCCCATTGCTGCTGTCTCCATCGCCACACTCTGCCATGTGCCACTTTCAGGTCTCCTCACACACTGCTGGTGTGTTCAATTTTTTGTCATAGGGTGCTGGCAGATTACGGGCCTCCCATAGCTGCTGCCAGGCCCCTAATCTGCCATGGGCCCCTAATATACCGCCTCCTCATGCTGCTGCCAGGTCCAGAGTCTCTCATGGGTCCCTGTACGGCCTCCCATTGCTGCTGTCTCCATAGCCACACTCTGCCATGTGCCACTTTCAGGTCTCCTCACACTGCTGGTGTGTTGAATTTTTTGACATAGGGTGCTGGCAGATTACGGGCCTCCCATAGCTGCTGCCAGGCCCCTAATCTGCCATGGGCCCCCCCCCGTATACCGCCTCCTCATGCTGTGACGTTGCAACAAGGTGGAATTCAACCCTACATGGGTTGTAGGCCGCCCATTTACGAACAGCGAAAGGCCATCACAGATTTCCTGATTTAAAAGCGGATAAAGGTACTCCTGGTGTGTTGAACTTAGATGTCACCATTGGGTGCTGGCAGATTACGGGCCTGCTGCTTGCTCAGGCCCTTCTGAGGAGGCCCTACGCTATTCTCAGTCTGCTGCCTATGGGATGAACGACGTCTCTCATGGTTGCACGTCCTGGAACAAATGCTGTTAACAATGGCTGGTCAGGGTGCGGTAGACATGGCGCACAGATCTCAACGCCACATGACCACTTTCAGGTCTCCTCACACTGTGGGGGCAGGACAGGAAGAATAGAGGAGGAGGTAGAGGAGGACATTGGGTGCTCAGGAATTATTGAGTGAAATGGGTGGTTTTTACCCTCTCAAGCGGACAGCCAGTGGAGGAGCAGGAGCATCATGGTAGAGGAGGGCCTCCCATTTCTGCTGTCTCCAGGAGACAGAGGACCCAGACGCACCGTGGCAGTTATGCTGTGGAGATGGGGGCAGGCAGATTCGCATTCCTTGCCAGGCCAAATGGCCCATACCGCATGCTCGCTTGCTTGCGTAGCGGACAGCCGAATAATAACCATCAGTACAGGAAGGATGACTTTTGGCTGTCCACCTTGTTGGACCCTTTCAGCTACCGTTCAAAAATGGTGGCCTTTTTTTCACTACCTGCTGATAGGGAGGCCAAAAAACGTACTATAAAAAGCCACCTAGGCCCCTAATCAGCCATGGTCTCTGCCTCCTCATGCTGCCCAACGTCCATCCTCAGACCACTGTGGGCCCTGTGCGCTCGCGTTCTCCTGTACGGCCAGGGGAGGGGTGGGGGTGGTAGGAGTGCTGTGGCAGCTCCACCAGCAGCCTGCCTCAGTCTGCAGTCGATGATGAGTAGCTTTCTTCACCAGCGCAGTGAGGGAAACTACTAACCTCCCAGCAGCAGCATCAGGTGGACCTGGAGCAGGACCTCAAACAACAGGCTTAGGCCTACTTGGACAGCACCCTGCCAACCGAGGTAGACAATCCCCTTGACTACTGGGCAACGAAACTTGACCTTTGGCCCCAACTAGCTGAATTTGCCCTTGAAAGGCTGTCATGCCCCAGGTCCAGTAGCGTGGCATCGGAGCACGTGTTTAGTGCGGCACACTGCTGAGTGTATTGTAACTCCTGAGGACACGACTGTCCACCCAAAGTGTGAAGAGACTCACGTTTGTGAAAATGAATCAGGCGTGGATTAGTCTGGATTTCAAACCACCAGTTCCCTGACACAGCTGACTAAATCCGCCATGAATCATGCCCCAAACATGTGCCACTTTCAGGTCTCCTCACACTGCTGGTGTGTTCCATTTTTTGTCATAGGGTGCTGGCAGATTACGGGCCTCCCATAGCTGCTGCCAGGCCCCTAATCTGCCATGGGCCCCTATACCGCCTCCTCATGCTGCTGCCAGGTCCAGAGTCTCTCATGGGTCCCTGTACGGCCTCCCATTGCTGCTGTCTCCATCGCCACACTCTGCCATGTGCCACTTTCAGGTCTCCTCACACACTGCTGGTGTGTTCCATTTTTTGTCATAGGGTGCTGACAGATTACGGGCCTCCCATTGCTGCTGCCAGGCCTGTAATCTGCCATGGGCCCCCGTACCGCCTGGTCACGCTGCTGCTGGGTCCACAGTGTGACATGGGTCCCTGTACCGCCTCCCATTGCTCCCACTCTGCCATGTGCCACTTTGAGGTCTCCTCACACTCCTGCTGGTTTCCATTTTGTCATAGGTTGCTGTATGGCCTCCCATTGCTGCTGCCTCCACCGCCACACTGTGGCTCCAAACACTGGTTTTGGCCCCGTGACTGGCCAAATCATGTCATACTGAGTGACAGTATTATTTCTCTTCCCCAGCAGACTCCAAGGGCATTTAAATTAAAGGTACAGTGTTCTGCACTAATATTAAGTCTCTCTGAAGCCTAAAAACACCCTTTTTTAAGTTAAATTCACAGCGAATTTATTCGACTCAAATCGAATATTGTCCACGAATTCGCCGAATCAGTCGAATCGAATTTCTCATTTCTTCGCTCATCTCTACTCCTGATAATCACCCTCCCCTTCAGATGGCTGCTTTTTTGGCGCTTTTTGACTCCTTTCAATTGCCATGTTTGTCACCTTCCGATGTCACAGCCCTAAATGCAATCTCTATTGAAGAAATATTGGATGAAAGAGATGAAACATCTCCCTACTCACAAGTCTATAGGGCGAGACGGTCTTCCTTACTCATATTACAAGTCCTTTATTGGCATCTTAGCCCCCCATCTGCTGACCTTGTTTTGGGATCTCCTGAAAGGGGTGCATCCCCTCGATCATTTTACAAGCACATACATTTCTGTGATCCCCAAGCCGGACGAGAACCATTCCCTTCCAGATAATTACCGCCCTATAGCCTTATTAAATTCTGACTATGAGATTTTTACGAAAATACCAGCTAACAGATTGGCCAAATGTATCTCCAAGCTTATACACAGAGAGCAGGTGAGATTTGTCCTGGCTAGACAAGCCACAGATAACACCAGGAGGACCATTGACCTGATAGACTAAGTTGGCCATACTTGTTTCTAGTCCTGGAGAGATTTGGGTTTAGTGGTTTGTTTGTAGCTGCTTTGAGAGCCCTTTACTCCACTCCCTCTTCCCAGGTCAAATCAGCATCGTTTTTATCCCCTTCTTTTCAGATGTCCAACGGTACACACAAGGAATGCTCGCTTTCCTCCTTGCTGTTTATCCTCTGTTTGGAACCTCTGGCTATAGCTATTAGAACCAATCTAGATATCCATGGGATATGCACCCACAATCATGACTTTAAACTGTTTTTGTTCGCTGATGATATCTTGACGCTGACAGAGGCCCACATTACTCTGCCAGTCTTACATCGTACTTTACAGCTTTTTGGTGCCCTGTCGGGTTAAAAGGTTAATGCATCTAGAACTGAAGCATTACCACTTCATATACCATCTGTAATTTCATCCCCCCTTCAGTTAAATTACCCCTACAGTGGTGCCCCCACACCTTGAAGTATTTAGGTATCCACCTTACTTTCTCATACCACTCCCTTTATGAAGCTAATTTCTCCAGTCTTTCATAAAATTTCTCAATCTTTAAAATCTTGGGACAATCTTTCCATTTCCTTCCTTGGACGAATTAATGTACTAAAAATGACCATACTGCCCAAACTTCTGTACCTGTTTGAGACGCTTCCTGTTCCTATTCCCATGGCCAAGTTGCACTCCCTTCAGAAATCCTTCCTCCACTTAATCTGGCATAACAAATACCACCAAATTGCCCGTACTGTCCTCTTCTCTCCTCGATCTAGGGGGGGTTTGGGGGCCCCAGACATTGTATCATATTATTTGGCTACTCCCCTTCATGCCCTGGTCTCATGGTCCTCCAATGCCCTCTTAATAAATGGGCCGAGATTGAGTGGCTACAAATAAGTCCAACACACCCTTGCTCTCTGTCTACAACCAACATTGAAATCACCTCTCACAAACACCTCTTGCCTGGGCCCAAGCATTTCACGTTATCTATATGGAGGCAGTGTAGGGTTAGATTCACTCTGGCTTCACAGTGTTCCCCCTGACCAATGTTATACTTATCCCCAGTCTCCCAGATAGCTTGGCGTTGGCTCGCGTGCGTCCCTGAGCCGAGGCCAATCTCAGTTGTGACACTTGGTCCACCCAGTGACCCGCAATCTTAGATTTTTTTTGATATTCAAAAGGCCACTCGTATGTCACCTCACCAATATTATGTTTATCTACAGATACGTCACTTTTTTTCCTCTAAAGCCTCATCTCTAACCATTGAGAAGCCTACTCCCTTTGAAAGCATCTGCATTCAGGGTCCGTACCAATGGGGCATAATTTCCTCTATTTATAAAACTGCTTCAAGATTTCTGCCCCCTTACTATTGATACACACCTTTATATGCACAAATGGCCCCTAATGGTTCCTTTGGGAACCGTGGGATCTTTTGATTTCTGATTTGCCTACTCAGTTGTCTGAAAATGATGGCTAATTCACGGTTATTTACTGACATTGTACGTACCTATATACCTCTCATCGATGAGCCTGTTTCTTTGTTCTCGATTGTTTATTTCACCATTTTATGCAACTCTGTTTGTTGTAAACATTTTGAAAATCAATAAAAAGTAAATTAAAAAAAAAAAAAAATACCATCTTGAACAAGATTCAGTGTCACCTTTACATGGCATTATAGGATCATCTCTCTTCTCTTTCTTCTTACATGTAATTATTGCTGCTGTTAACATCCACCTTTAAGGCCTCATGCATTCTGAGCATTTTTTTTAGCTCCTCTAAACCCCTTTTCTCCTTGTAGGAGAAAAGCTGCATAGAAAATGTGCCTCAAGCCATATTTTGCACACACATTTAGGCACATCAAACATGTAAGCATTCATCAATTTACTGGGGCTGTTGGAATGAATTAATGCTCAAGAGCTAAACATGTCTAACATTGGGGTGCATTTAGATGCATGTAGGCGCATTAAGTGTTTTTTTCTCTGCCCAAAAGCTCCTCTCCTGAACGTACTAGTAATGTTTATTTTTCTGCCTGTAAATGCTGCACTTCTAATACACCTGTAAATGC